TGGGGGCGGAGCGGAGGCGGGGCGGCCCGCGCAGTCAGGGCAGAGCCAGCGGTGCTTCTCGCAGCCCGCATTTCCCTGGGCCCAGGGTTCGGAGGACCTGCGTGGGCCAGTCCTCCTAGGACCCTGCCGCAAGCGCTGTGTACTGTTTGTACCCGACGTACTCTGCAAACCAGTGCTGGTCGCGCCCATCACACGCCTTCATTCAGCCACTCCATTAGACCATTCATTCATTGTCACTTCCTAGGTACTTGGCCTTGTGCATGCCACCTAATCTTGTTGAGCTTCAGTTTCCTTATTTTAGTAAAAGGAAATTATATCATAGTGGTAGTGTTGTAAGGCTTAGAAGAGGTTGTATTAAAATATCTGGCACACAGTAGGTCCTCTGGCTCCCTTGGCCAGTACTAGTAACATTAGGGGGATGGAGAAGGGCTCCTTAGTCTCAGTGCAGCCAGTGAGGACAAATTCCAGACAGATGTATCTCAACTCCTGTTAGAGCACCACACCTGGTTGAGGAAGGGATGATTTTCCTATCCCTGTAGTGAGCCAGGAATGAGTGAGCCAGTTACTGGGTGGAGGTGGGGGAGGTTGTTGCTAAATAAGCCTGAATGGGTACCTCTGAATGTTTTTGGCAAATCTCCCTCAATGAGATAGGCCTGCGCATGTGTAGCCTGGGAGGTGAGATGGGGTGAGCATTCCCAGCCAGAATGGTATGTTGCTAAGAGAGGGGCTGGAGGGGTAGAAGAGCTGTCCCCATTTGCCCAACTCTCTGGCCTCCTGATTTGTGATGAGAAACCCCTTGGTGCTGCTACCTTCTCTGAAGAAATCTGGTTAGTTCTTGGGCTGCCCAAGAACTGGGCACAGGTGTGTGAAGTGGGGGAGAGGGGTATGGGTGGACGTGCCAAAGGTATGTTCATGGGGCAGGTATGTGCAAAACCATGGGGCAAAACCATCCAGGCTGCATGCTTAGATCTAAAAGGTCAGGGCTGCCTGAGTCAGAAGGCAGCACAGGCCTGAGGCCCCAGGTTCCAAGAGTCAGGAAGCTGCTGGAGCAGCTGGAGCTAAGGAGGAGGTGCTGGACACTACAGGTAGGAAAAAGAAGAGGAGTAGAGGTCATCTGGGAGGAGGGAAGAGTATATCACCTAGTTGAGAGCTGGAGGGTCCTTAGAAATAGTCTGGAGAAATCTGGGGAACAGAGACTCAGAGACAGTTGGGGCTTTCCAAAGGTCACACAACAGGCTGGGGATCTTCCTGCTGTCACACCTTAGCATCAGGAAAACACATCTGTGTGCTGACAACTAGGGGTCATGTCCAACTCTCAGGTCATAGGCTGTTCTTCCCTATCCTTGCTCCTCACCAACTCTGCCTTCCCCTCCCCCTCATCCAGCATACCATCCTTTTGCCCTGCTATTTGGGGGATGGAAAGAGGGCAGTGTCTCAACTCTTAGGGTCGACTACTCTCAGGTTTTGTGCTCAGGTGGCCTCGTATTCTCTCCAATCTCTCTGAGCCTGAGTGAGACCCACCGAGGCCAGGATGAGCCACTGAGTCTTGTCTTAATTCAGGGATACTCACAAAGGCAGCAGCTCACTTAATCAGTGTCTTGTCTATTCCTTTTCTGCATCACTTAAACATGTTGGAATATAAAGAGAGGACACAGGGTGGGGGATGTGGCAGTCACTTTGTAACTCTGAGCCTCAGCTTCCTAATCTGCAAAATGGGAACCATGAGATCTGCCTCATAGGTCAAGATGAGAGTCAAACAAAATAAGTGTGGGAAATTGCTTATAAACTGTAAAAAGCTCTGTATAGTGTCAGCTGACTGTCAGATCCTGAAGACCCTGACCTTGCCCTTTTCTACTCCACGGGTCATGTGCAGAACCTATGGAGAGAGGTGGCTATCAAGCCTTTGTTGGATGAAGGGAGGTGATCAATACAATGGGGCTGTTTTGGGAGCTCCCACGTGTTTATTAGGCTGTGGTCTTGTAGAGGAGAAATGGTATTGGGGTTGGAAGGAATAATCTGTCCTTATGTGGACTTCCTGGGCAGAGTTAACAAAGAAAAGTAGCATAGAAGAGCCTGGAAAGGAGGTTTCACAATCACTCCCCCCCAACACACATACACATATACACACAAACACAGCACACCCAGGTATGCACAGGCTCCACAGGTATACACTCTTCACCCACCCCACCCCAGACACAGATTACTGCTGGCTCCCTGGGAAGGCAAGGTAAAAAGTTAGCTCCTCAAACCTCAGCTCGTTAATGCGGCCATGCCTGCTATTTACAAAACTCTTTCTTTCCTTGGAGGAGCTCCTCTTCACCCCAGAGAAAGGAGATATGGCTCTGGTAGTCACCCTATAGATAGAGAAACAGAGAAGTGTGGCACCTTTCCCTGAGACACACAGCAATGCTTTCCCCATTCCTTTCAGACCTAGCTGTAGACATTGCCTCCTCCATGAAGGCGTCCTGGACTGCCATTATAGCATTCTCTGCCCTCTCTATTCCTCATCCCTCCCTTACTCCCATCCAACAGAGTTGGTGGGTGGGCAAGACAAGGAGCTCCTACTTGGAGCATGGCCCTGTGTCAGTCACTTGATAAATATTATGTCAATTAATTCTTACAGAAAACATATGAGGCAGGAGTTTGAATACATGCAAACTGAGGTTTGACCTACTGAATTGTGTGACCTTAGGCAAGCCCCTTGACCTCACGTCTCAGTTTGCTGCTCAACTGGGAATAATTAGAACATGTCCCAGGGCTTGTGTGGATCCAATGAGTTCACAGCTTTCTTTATAGTAGGCCCTCAACCAGTGGTAGCTCTAGAGGAGGAGTGGTGAAGCAGCCAGCCCCATAACCAAGAAATGGAGGAGCTTGGATTTCCCCCCAAACCCTCCTAAGAAAAGGCTCAGGCAAAGCTGTTGGTCCAGAATCCTCTGCTATCTCAGCATGCAGAGCCTGAGAATTGAGCTGTACCAGTAGCCAGTAGCCTGGGTTCAGAGCCTGGGTTGGATAGGACCTGGGGGTGGGACAGGGTCATGGGATCTGATCAGAGTGAGGTGAGCTACTTCCAACGCTGTGCTGGCAAACCAGAGCTTCCTTCTGCAGGGAAGGCCAGAGACACAGTAAACCTGTTGCCTTGCCATGGTAAGCAGGGAGTGGGGAGCCCCACCCCACCTCCAGAGGAAATCAGTCTCTCAGAGGGGGATCCCAAATACAGAGAAAGGCAGATGGGCCTCTCTGGAGAACTGTGACTATCAGCCTACTGGCTACAAAAAAGAAAAAAGCCCATACAATAGTTTGAGGACCTTACTACAAGGAAGGGGGAGCTCTCTGATTAACAGCCAGTGAAGGTTGACTGTCCTTCCCATCTTTCCTCCCACCAAATAATGACCCTCCAGGCTTTGTGGTGGCAGTGAGAGGGACCCAGGTGCTGTTTCCTAGTGCAGTGAGAGAGGCAGGTGGAAAACAGCTCAGTGCACTCCACTGTGATGTGTGCTTGTGTGGGAATGGGGCTGCTGCAGAAGCCTGAGGAATAGGGGCTGGGCCTTGAGTGAGAAGTTCTCTCACTCTGGCTGTGCCAGAGCTCAGCCACTGGGGTGTCTGGCTTGGTACTGGAAGTGAAACTGGAACCAATAGTGTCCATGTGGCCTGTCACTACCAGAGTCAATAAGCAGAAACAAGGTTGAAGCTTTGAGGTGCTTTATTCAGATGCCAGCAATCCAAGAGAGCGGCAGGTAAATACCCTGAAACACTGCTCTAACATCTGTCTCAAGGCAGCCGTTATATAGAGTTAGAGGGTGGGAGAGAATCTAAAACTACGTGAGTTCTCAGGGTCTGTTTTCTATCATTGTCCTCATAAAGATTAGCCCTCAGAATTTTGTCTCCCTTCAGGCAGGGCCTGACCTTGATTTGCTCTCAAAATGTATCTTCTTTCTGAGTGGTGGACCCATCTGGACTCCAAGGCCGCTTATCTTTATGACTCTGTTTTTCTTCTTACAACACGTCCTCCACAGTTTCCCAGGGTCTGTAAGAAAAATCTCTTATCTATAGTTAGTATAATGAATAGCTATTAATCAACTGTGATTCTGTTCTTATAGCATGCCCTTCCCCTATCAGAAGCAGTGGGAAACATTCCCTCCGGAGAGGTCTTTCCAATGCCCATAACTGACTCTGTTGGCCCCCTAGTGCCCCACTCTGGCTTCTGCTTGCTTCCCTATTGCCACTGCAATCCCCAGAGCCAGCCAAAGTGCCTTGCTGGGTTATACCTCCATGCTTTGGGATATGCTCTCCCTCAGCTTGGATGCTTGTCCAGCTCTTTACTAGCTTCTGTTGGCCTTCAAGACTCAGCTTAGGCCCCTTCCTCCAGAAAACCTCCCAGAGCTCCAGGCTGTTTTTAGTCACCTCTTTTGAGGCATCATGACATTCTGAACTCATCTCCATGCTGAAATTGCCTGGTTATAAGCCTGGCTCCCTACTAGACTGTGGAGGGACCTCCTCCAGGGCAGAACCTGGGTCTGCCTGTGCCCTGGGACTCCAGTGCCCCACACAGGGCTGAGTCAGGCCATGGCTATGGAGTGCAGGGTGCATGGTGAAATA